TGCCTTATGTTTTAAAATAAATAAATATCTTTTTCAAAAGATGGGTAGAGGACTGAGGGGTGGAAGTTCTGTATATAGTACATAGAAGGTTTTAATTCTCATGCTGTTGCTATGTAGAAATTGAGCAGAAAAAAACCATCAAATACTCGTTCATCTTTCTGCTTTAAAGGGCAACAGCAAGGTTCTGGTTACTTACCTTTCCTGTATATAGCATATGTAAGTCCAGTCAGGGAGCAGTTCTCCAAGTATGCAACTAACACCTACTTCTGTATCTCTGTTTCATTGAACTCAGATGCTCAGCTTACCTATTGTTCAGTGCTTAGAAAAGAGTGAACTGGCTTTGATCCAATCCAGAAAAAGACTGAGCTTCCTTCTTTGGCTGAGGAAGTAACCAGTCACAATACATGAACTGATATTGGTTCCCTTGATTTAACCGTGTGTTGCCATTTATCACTCAAGTTCACAACCTGTGGCTTTTATTAGAAACTTAGAGGCCAAGACTGCAGCAGTGGCCAGAAGCATGTTTCTAATCATTTGTGTTTGGCGAGGATGCAGTCCACAGAAGTAAATACTTGGTCACCTCCAGATTGCATTATTATATGCTTTGTATGCAGCTATACTTCAGGACCACACAGACATTTCACCTAGTGAAGAATTAAGCTACACACCTGTTGGGGGGACTTGTGATAAAAGGTCCATGTTTCATTAATACAGCCTTCAGTTTGTTTTTCAGTGTGTTTTAAAGTGTGCTATGCAGTCTTATGTGGTTACTCACTGAGATCTCATAAACTCATAAACTACTTTCTCCATATCAAGTACCCATTGCCTTTGTGATGAATTGAAGGCATTTGACTTGGTACAATTTAGGAAGAGCTCTTGGCTGAGCTATTTTTAATAGCAGCCCTTAATTATGGAATTTGCTTTTTTCATTGGTCCGTAAGGGGCTAGATATATTGACTTTCAATTTATAGTCCTCTCTCTCTCTCTCTCTCTCTCTCTCTCTCTCTCTCTCTCTCTCTCTCTCTCTCTCTCTTTTAAGACTTCTCTGGGAAGATGAGCTGAGTGGGTAGAACTGGGTGCAGGTAGAGTCTTAGTTTGTGTGCAATCAGGACAGTTTTCTTATACAGGAAATTGATTCTGGTGTTTGTCTTCATCATATAGTGTATGCATGCCTACAGTATGCATATTTTAAAATCCTTTGTTCTGCATTCAGGACAGTTGGGGTCAATGACAAAAGCAGACATTGAACACTTTTTTTCTTTTTTTCATATAGAGTTGGCAGAAGATAGGCCAAGGAGCTTGTGTTTGATTTAAAATATGGTTTGTTATTCTAGGTCAAGGCTGAAACAGATGACAAACCCAACATGTTTAATGATTTCTTTGCCTCCATTTTCTTAAGCAGGGACCGGAACAGTCACCCCCGTCAGGCCCCAGGGGAGGCGCACGTAGGCCAAGGGTTAGTGAGGAACTAGTTAGGGAACTTCTGGAGGGACTGGATGTATTCAAGTCAGCCGGTCCAGATGATCTCCACCCTAGAGTACTAAAGGAATTGGCTGAGGTCATTGCAGGACCCCTGGCACGGCTTTATGAGCACTCGTGGTGCTCTGGTGTGGTGCCAGAGGACTGGAAGGGGGCCAGCGTGGTTCCCATCTTCAAAAAGGGGAAGAAGGAGGACCCGGGAAACTATAGGCCAGTTA